TTTGCTCGAAAATGATATCATTGAAGCTTCTGACAGCCCATGGAATTTTCCGCTTCTGGTTGTTCCAAAGAAGCAAGATATAGATGGTAACAGGAGATGGCACGTCTGTGTCGACTTTAGAAAACTGAAAGCAATTACAGTAAGCGACACTTATCCTCTACCAAACGTAGCCAAAATCTTGGATCAGATAGGAAATTCTAGTTTTTTTTCCACTCTAGATTCAGCTAGCGGATTCCATCAGGTAGAATTAGACGAGAAGGATCGGACGAAGACAGCCTTTACAGCTGTAGGAAAAAAGTTTCAATACAAACGTATGCCATTTGGTCCTAAAAATGCTCCTAGCACGTTACAGAGGTTGACTAACCTGGTTTTGGCCGGCGTTGAAGGATTCAAAGGATTAGTATACATGGATGATATTATCATTTATGATAAGACTCTTCATGAACATAATTCTCGGCTGCGTAATGTTCTGGAACAGTTGCGCAGCTATAATCTCAAACTACAGCTAATAAAATGTGAGTTCCTGAGGCGTGAGTTAACGTATCTTGGGCATGTTATATCAGAAAGAGGCGTCACACCCGATCCTGGAAAGGTAAAGGCTGTCCAAAACTTTCCTGTTCCTAGAAACCCCAAAGAAATAAAAATGTTTCTAGGTTTAGTCGGTTATTATAGAAAATTTATAAAAGATTTTGCAAAAATTGCAAATCTATTGAATGTATTATTAAGGAAAAATTAGGCATGGAAATGGGGTCCTCCAGAAAAAATATCATTCAATACTCTCAAGAGTGCAATTTCCAGTGCACCTATACTACAGTATCCTGATTTCGAAAAACCATTCATCTTGACAACTGATGCTAGCGGCGAGGCAATTGGAGCAGTGTTAGCGCAGGAAGGGTCCACGGGAGAGCGGCCAGTAGCTTTCGCATCCCGACAACTCAACAAGCATGAAAAGAACTATGCCACAATTGATAAGAAATTGTTAGCTATTATTTGGAGTGTACGACAATTCAGACCATATTTGTACGGACACAAATTCCTGATTTACACGGATCACCAGCCGCTAACATACCTCTACAAATGCAAGGAGCCTACCGCTAGGCATATTCGATGGAAACTTGCGATGGACGAATACGACTTTGATGTCCGGTTCAAACCTGGAAAAGCCAACGTCGTTGCCGACTGCCTGTCGAGATATGGAATGGGAAACCAAAATATCGAAGAAAAGTTGGTTTTAACACTATGAAACGCCTATGAGAAATTTATAAATTTCAAAAATAATAATTGCATAATTAATGGTCACGTAGTAGAGAGTAACGACAATATTAATACCAGTCTACAATCCATACCTCGAGTCATTTTCATTCCTAAAAAGATAAATGATTTTACACGGGACACAGCAACTCATTCAACTATACAAGCAATGGAGGATGGATATAACTACATTAATTTAATAACACATAAAGAGCATGAAAGGATTCATTTGAAAAACATATTTGAATGTATTAGTTCTCTGAAATGTCTCGTGGAATCCAATAATATGAATGAATTACATATTGCCAATCCCTTAAAATTAAACGACTACAAGAATTTAAAGGTTGAGGAAATTTTAATAATTTTTAGGTTTCTTTTCAAAGATACTGATGTTAAAATAACATTTTATAAAGATTTTGTTAAGATTAATCTAACCCAAGAAGAAATTAATTCTATTTTAGAGTATTTTCATAACAATCATACTTTAGGTGGACATCAAGGTATAGGTGAAACTTACAGCAAAATCCGAGAATCGTATTTATGGCCTAATATGAGAAAGGACATAGTAAAATTTATAAATAAATGCGAAAAATGTCAACTAAGCAAAGCCTCCAAAGCGACAAGAGAACCAATGTTAATAACTACAACATCTACATATCCCTTCGAAAGAATTAGTCTTGATATATGTGGTCCATACCCTGTTTCCAACAATGAAGGTAAATACATGCTAACTTTCATTGACGATTTAACAAAATTTGCAGGAGCTATACCGATACCAAACCAAGAAGCCAAAACCATAGCCAAGGCTTTTTTTAATGAAATTATTCTTAGGTTTGGTATGCAAACTTTTAAAAATTGACAAAATAAATATCTCAATGTATCATCCTGAATCTAATGCCTCTTTAGAAAAGTGTCATCACATGTTTCTAAATTTTATAAGGTCGTACATTGGGAAGGATGATAAAACTTGGGATACATGGATATTTTACGCCATTTTTGTTCACAACACAACACCGCATTGTTCCACAAAATTTACACCGTTTGAACTTGTATTTGAGCGTAAAGTTGATTTGCCTGCCTTTATAAATAGGGAACCTAAAATACAAAATACTTATGAAAATTTTAGCAGTGAATTCAAAACCAAATTACAGCAAATAAATGCAGTAGCTCGAGAAAACTTAATTCCAAATAAAAATACGATTTATGTGCAAATAACCATGTTGCAAAAGTTTAAGCACTGTCAATCTTAAAATTGTAAATGTTTGTATATTATATTTTAATTATTTATAATATACATTTTTTTTTCTTTTTTTTTGTAAAAAATAAGGTTCAGAAGTTATTGAGGACAATAATTTTTTTTTCAAGGGGGAGGAGAACCTCAACCTCCCATATTTTTTTTTTTTTCTTATTTTCTGTCAGAGGACTGACAGATGCTTTAGGAGGGGCGTGATATGTAACGAACCTTATTTTTAAAAACTTAAAATTATTTAAAGGTTTCATACCCCTGCCCATTGCAGCATGTTGTGTAACCCTGGCGAGTACCGTTAAGGACCCAGTATAAAACCAGGTGCAATGGGCCTAGTCGGAGTCATTTTCCGTACAGTCGCCGACTGGAGTTATTGTACATATTATTGTATATATTATTCAATAAAGAATATATTAAGTAGACAGTGCATCATCAATACCAAGGAAAAGAACCAAAAGTATCCGGAGGAAGGTGTGTTGTCTATACCGTATATAAAAGAACCCAAGGTGTCCGAGCAAACGTTCGTGTTCTCGCTATCAAATACAATTCAGTACATACACATATGCATATCTATACACACACAATCACATATATAACTAGTTGCTATTTGTATTTTGCCTTAAGGCAAGTTACATATACTTCCCGATATGTGTAAATAATCAACTTAATCAATAAAAAATAAATTAATTTATGAGTGGTTAAAAGTATTCGAAGTCACTTTATTACACATAATTAAAAACGAAGGACCACGTTAACTCAGAGTATTTTCTAAAAGCAACATTTCAAAAATCAATAACTTTTATAATTGAAATTGTTTCCGTATGACTTTTTTTTCTAAAAGCAAATTTTCAAAAATCAATAACTTTTATAATTGAAATTGTTTCCGTACGACTTTTGTAGAATTGTTTCCGTATGACTTAAATAGTTTAGTACGTTCATCAAGACCAAGTACTCTATCGTTATACCCAAGTAAATGGTCTAATATTCATTTTAATAAACGTCAAAAAAACTACTCATTTTCTCAAACTTTGATGAATTTTTAAAATTGAACTACTTGTCGTAAGGCCGTAATATTTCAGTAAGTTCTATAAGACCATGATATATATCGCCAAAAAAAGTTCTATGAAAATCGACTTAAATTTTTGAAGTAAAACTTCTTAATGCAGTTGAAATTGTTACGCCAAGCAGAAGTGAGAGTCATTCGCTCTCGATGATATGATTTCTATACGGGTCGATTCTGATGCGTGACTTTATACCTGCGTGCGTCATCGAAAGCGTGCTTTATACGTGTATACGTCCGTCATACGTCACCGAAAGCATGAAGCATATTGTTTAAATTTCCGGTGTTATGTCAAAACTTTTTAAGGTTAAGTACATTGGTATAAATTCTGACTTGTGAGTTAATAAAAATTTCAGGATCAAAAAAATATTTTATTCCGTCCCTCATAAATTTATGTAGTGCAACTAATCGCAAATAATGAAACAAAGGAAAAATCTGCGCTGCGTAAGGAATTCCAGTTTTTCGAGGTTACTATATACCTTTGATGTTATTACTAAAATGGAAAATATTTTTACAAAAGACAGATACTACAGTTGCTCAAAGAATGAAAATGTATTACCACCGAAATAGTCAAAACAAGCAAGCAGTCAATAATGAAGTACTACAAACACTATTACATGATAAGTAAAATTGTGAAAACAATATTTCTTTATTGGAAATTTAACGAAAGTTTACATGTTTCTCTTTTATGATGGCTATGAAGAATAATTTTAATTTATTATAATAGTAATTATAAATATTGATGCGGGTACAAAGCCTCTTGCAAACTCTGAAAGTTCAAGATTACATCGTCAAACAAAACAACTGCAGGAAATTAATCGGTTACTGCCAATTTATTAGAAAATCTTGAGCCAGAAGTATCAATTTAGATGTTAATGTCAACACCAATGACATAAGTAAGAATCTTTTCAAGCTATTTGACTCCTGAAAACCGCTACAACTATTCACATTTAAACATATTATTCTGTTATCTTTTCAGATGAAAGTACCGCTGTTACTTTTTCTGATACTGCAACTATATCACGTCAATTGCAAATTGATGATTCTGTATATAATGTGACTAATAATGTGACAAGACTTTTGCAAGAGTCAAATGAAGCATTTAAACTTCCATATAAAGACATCAATTTGTTTAGGAATGCACGAAAATTGTTTGAAAAACAATTTACAAATGATAGCTTTGGCCATGTATGCTTTGTGTGTGTGTAAAGGAAATGTCACAGTAATTCTCGACAAAACTACCTACTTAGAAAAAATCACTAGTCTAGTTAATGACACTAACGTTTACAGTCCTATCAATAGCGATCCTACAGATCGAATCAACCGCACGTTCCACAAATTCATTAATAATTTAGTTTCTACTAAACAAATCCCACAAGACTTGTCCTTGTCGTTAAAAAACCTACATCCTAACAACCCAAAATTATATGGTCTCCCAAAAATCTACAAAACCAATGTACCTTTTAGACCTATAGTTGCAGATTTGAATTCTCCACTAAATAAATTTTTCAAATTTCTGAGCAAACCCCTCTCCATAGTTGCTGTTAATTCTCCTTTCTTTATTAAAAATTCCTTCGAATTTGTCAATAAAATACGTAATACACAATTGCCCAACAACTCCCTCTTAATAAGCCTAGACGTAGCTTCTCTTTTCACAAATGTCCCACTAGAACTAATTTTAGAGTCAATCACAGATAGATGGGATGAGATTTCTTGCCACACTACCCTTTCCCTCCATTGGTTTCGAGAGTCCATTAAATTTATAGTCGCGAATACTTATTTTGAATTCAATTCACAATTTTATACACAAATTTTTGGTACCCCCATGGGATCGCCTATCTCACCTGCTCTTGCTGAACTCTCTTTACAACATCTCGAAAAAAACGTTTTTAAACTATCTAATGTTGAATTTTTCCTTTACTACAGATATGTTGATGATATAATTACTTGCATTCCTAAAAATAACTTTGATTCTTTTTAACTTTTTGACTATTTGTCTCCCTTATATTAAAAATCTCTTTCCTATTTGGAAAAAACTATTTGAATTCACGGATTTGCGTTTAGTTTGCAATATTGATCAGACTCTTAAAACTTTTTATTTTCGAACTTAAAATCACCGACAAGTTTAGATTGTATTTCTAACATCGTGTATAAAATTGATTGTTCAAATTGTGAGGCCACTTACGAGGTCTGTTCAAAAAGTTTTCGTAATTTTCGTTTTTTCAAAAAAATATTTATTTATTCGTCTACATTAATGTGGTCCCCTTCAAAGTAGTCCCCCCAGATATAATACACTTATGCCAGCGTTTTTTCCAATTTTCGAAGCACCCTTGATATTCACTTTTTGATATGTCCTTGAGCACTCTCGGCGATTTTCTTCAATCGAGGAAAACCGCCGTCCTTTCATGGGTCTCTTCAACTTTGGGAATAGGAAAAAGTCACACGGAGCCATATCTGGTGAATTTTTGCACTTTGCAACACTTTATTTCATTTTTTACGCAAAATTTAATACAAATTCTTTGACTTTTTCAATTCTTCCATTGTAAAAATCGCCGAGCTCAGAAAAACACGTCGAACCTTAGCGACTACCACAGACAAAGTAAACAGTGAATATAGCTGAAAATTTCATCATACTTTAGGGGCATGTATACCAACACAATAAAAAAAAATTTTGACAATCAGATACTCCAGACCCGCGAAATTTAATTATTAGTAATTCCGGGTACTTTTTGAACACACCTCGTATATTGGCGAAACTGGACAACATCTAAAAAAACGTCTTAGACAACACTATAACAACTCCAAAAATAAAAATCAAAATCAAACAATGATAACTGACCACATACAAAATTTCAATCATATTTTCAATTTTGATGTTGCCACAATTTTATATCACGAGTCGAATACATCGCAGAGACGCTTTTCAGAATCATGTTTCATACATCTTTTCAAAAATAGCATAAACAAAAGATTGGATAATTCTTCACTGTGTGAGAATTACCAAGTAGTTTTAAACAATGTCTCGAAATTCATTCCTTTGAAATAATTACCTATCTTATCGACTTTTCAATATATTAATTTTTATGTTAATTTTTCTTTTTCTTTTAATTTTATCTCAATTCTACCAACTATGTCCACCCTCACAATTGTCATCTTTTTATATTTTACTTTATGTACTCTCTCGCGTTGTCAAACCTTAAATTCTCTGGTCAGTTCGTGTGCTCGGTACCTAGCTTCTAACACGTGTTGTGCACATTTGTGCACATTTAGGCTTCACTCTTGCATCGGAATACAGAATAGCGGGATGTATTTTACAAATTCATAGAATAACTCATTCAAAAAATTTATTATTGTTAAATTTAAAGTGACAAGAATTGGTTTCATTGTGCATTGTGAACAATTATAATTAGGAAATAATTAGGATTATTACAATTACATGTAAGTTCATACCATATCACTTATTATATATTAGTTTTAATTAATAATTTTTATCTGTGCCTTCAAAATAGAGTCCACTGAAGATGACACAAAACTATGTGTCGAAACGTATGGAAAAAATAAAAATGTTTTAAAGTCATACAAATTTTTTAATTGATGTATTGCCCTGAAAACTGAATATCACATATTTCAACATCAAAATTATATAAAAAAAATTAATATAAATTCCTGGGCTGAAAAAAGAACATTTTGTATCACACCTCGCTCCAACTCATTACTACGCACTCCATCAAGATTTTATTAATATTAATTTAAGTTTAATTACCAATGTTCTATTTAATTATTTTTGTTGTATTACGTGGATAATAATTTTTTTTTATATATTTAGCTAAGTTTCTTAGTAAATTGTAATAACTTTCATAATAATTTTGTACACTGCTCTTGTCATTTTAAATTTCCTTATTTAGTTTTCCTTTTTACATTTTTACTTTTACTTTAATTTACCGTTCCTTTCATTTATTTACATCATGAGCCAAACGACTTTCAACCGCGCGTTCTTCAAACGAACTGATTATTCTCAAAACAATTACCCCCTAAATAATTCGTTTTACTCGTTTATCAAAAAGCATTACGGTTTTTACATTTTTTCACAATTAAAACACATTACCAAACTGAATACGAAATTAATAACTAACATTAACAGCAGATTTTCTTAATAAGATGCAGAAAAGAAAGTATAATTCCTAAGTTCTATCAATTCAATACAGACAAATTTTCGCACTTACATAGTTCGCTAAAAAACAAATTTTCATCATTAAGCCTCCATATGTTATCCATTGAAGTCAAGAATTGTATCTGCAATGTCAATAATTTGAAACTAGCCATTGATAAAACGTACGCTTGGCTCACTCATACTGTTGAAGCGGAGATTCTGCAAAGCTTTTCTGAATACGAATCGACGCGTAACAACAAATTTTTCATTAAATTAAAAAATTCTTATAAAATTAAATTCGATAAATTATTGCAGGCTAAACGCAACCGTTCAAAAATAGTTTTAAATAGTACACTAATTAACAAATGGCTAAAAAATCTTTCCAGCGTCACAATTCCAGATAGATTACTTTACATTTTTGCACTAGGTCCCAACTTTGCTATCCCCAATAATTGCCACAATTTAAATTTTATTAAAGTTTTAAGCAGACTAGAAGCTGGCTAGATAAGATATTTTAAGAGACATAAAACTTTGTAAAAACTTTCTCAAAGATAATCCGAATATTTTAGTAACCAGAGCAGATAAAGGAAATGTCACAGTAATTCTCGAAAAAACTACCTACTTAGAAAAAATCACTAGTCTAGTTAATGACACTAACGTTTACAGTCCTATCAATAGCGATCCTACAGATCGAATCAACCGCACGTTCCACAAATTCATTAATAATTTAGTTTCTACTAAACAAATCCCACAAGACTTGTCCTTGTCGTTAAAAAACCTACATCCTAACAACCCAAAATTATATGGTCTCCCAAAAATCCACAAAACCAATGTACCTTTTAGACCTATAGTTGCAGATTTGAATTCTCCACTAAATAAATTTTCCAAATTTCTGAGCAAACCCCTCTCCATAGTTGCTGTTAATTCTCCTTTCTTTATTAAAAATTCTTTCGAATTTGTCAACAAAATACGCAATACACAATTGCCCAACAACTCCCTCTTAATAAGCCTAGACGTAGTTTCTCTTTTCACAAATGTCCCACTAGAACTAATTTTAGAGTCAATCACAGATAGATGGAATGAGATTTCTTGCCACACTACCCTTTCCCTCCATTGGTTTCGAGAGTCCATTAAATTCATAGTCGCGAATACTTATTTTGAATTCAATTCACAATTTTATACACAAATTGTTGGTACCCCCATGGGATCGCCTATCTCACCTGCTCTTGCTGAACTCTCTTTACAACATCTCGAAAAAAAAACGTTTTTAAACTATCTAATGTTGAATTTTTCCTTTACTACAGATATGTTGATGATATAATTACTTGCATTCCTAAAAATAACTTTGATTCTTTACTAAAAATTTTTAACTCCTTTAATAAACACCTCACCTTTACCTTCGAAAAAGAACACAATAGGTCAATTAGCTTTTTAGATGTAAATATCATAAAAACTCCAGATAATAAAATTATTACTAACTGGTACCAAAAACCAACGTGGTCGGGCAGATATCTCAATTTCCATTCTTATCATCCCACTAACATGAAAATCGGTACCATTATCAATTTAGTTGATCATGCTATTCTCTTGTCAGATAAAAAAATTTGGCCTTTTAACTTATCTCTAATCCACAGAACCCTATTAAATAATTGCTATCCTCCACACCTTATAAAATCAGTAATTAACAACAGACTTTCCGTCCTTAACACAAAACATAATCTTCCTTCCCTCGAGTCCCAGAAAAAAGAAAAAAATAAGTTTATTGGCACTATTTGTCTCCCTTATATTAAAAATCTCTTTCCTATTTGGAAAAAACTATTTGAATTCGCGGATTTGCGTTTAGCAATATTGATCAGACTCTTAACTTTTTATTTTCGAACTTAAAATCACCGACAAGTTTAGATCGTATTTCTAACATCGTGTATAAAATTGAATGTACAAATTGTGAGGCCACTTATATTGGCAAAACTGGACAACATCTAAAAAAACGTCTTAGACAACACTATAACAACTCCAAAAATAAAAATCAAAATCAAACAATGATAACTGATCACATACAAAATTTCAATCATATTTTCAATTTTGATGTTGCCACAATTTTATATCACGAGTCGAATACATCGCAAAGACGCTTTTCAGAATCATGTTTCATACATCTTTTCAAAAATAGCATAAACAAATGATTGGATAATTCTTCACTGTGTGAGAATTACCAAGTAGTTTTAAACAATGTCTCGAAATTCATTCCTTTAAAATAACTACCTATCTTATCGACTTTTTAATATATTAATTTTTATGTTAATTTTTCTTTTTCTTTTAATTTTATCTCAATTCTACCAACTATGTCCACCCTCACAATTGTCATCTTTTTATATTTTACTTTATGTACTCTCTCGCGTTGTCAAACCTTAAATTCTCTGGT